AAAGACTGAGCATTCAACTGAAGTAAATACAAAATTCATGGGAGATGCAGAAGACACTCTGCTGTTGGGCTGAGTACCAACTTCTCTGTTTCTCTCTGTTTCTATCTCTCTGTTAAGGACTTATGGCTTATTGTATAGTAAAAAATATGCTTGAACTTTTTGAACATGCCTTTAGACAGAAAGTTATGAGGAGCTGAAGCCATGATTTAAATAGAAATCATCATGCTCCCTCTTTATTTTTATTTTGCATTACCACCAGTGCACCCGAACTTCTGAAGAAGGTTTTGTTTTCTTATCCAGCTGCTTATCCAGTTTAGGCTGAAGGAGCACAGATGTCTCCAAAAGGCTGTCAGATTCTGTGCAAAGGCTTTCCAGAGGATCTCAGATGTATCTGCACCAGAGGAGTGTCTTGGGAAGGCAAGCAGACTGTGGGGGTGTGCTCCAGAGGCAGAGTGTTCCAGGGATGTACAGTAGCCACTCTTCAGAAGGGAAATGGCTAATAAAAGACATTTTCATAAATTGGCTTATTATACCTGCTAAAATGAAAGTTAGCACAGGGTTGGATTACTTTAAAAAAAAATAAATGTGAATATCTTCCATTCTGTAACCTTGTAAAGAATAATCAAACAAATTTTCTAAACAAACTCTGTGATCCCTTTTCATCTTTTAATGGTCTCCTCACCTACCAATCTCCTTAGCGTATTCTAATTTGTTTAGGTCTAAATAAATTCTTTGCAAGAGTGGTATGTATTTAGCAAGTAAACTTGTAAAGTTAACAGGACTACTCCTTCAGTTAAGGTTAGGACCTTGGAAAAGGCCTTTTTTAATCTGTGAACATTCCCATTATAAGTGCTTACATAAGGTCCTACTATGATAGAGCAGCAGTTATGACGTTATCTAATCTTTAGTGGTAATGAGCAGCATTACTTCCTGTTGGGGCACTCACAGCCTCTTGCTCCACAGCTTTCATAGATCCATTAGTGTTGGAAAAGACTTTCAAGGTCATTGAGTCCAACCTTTGACCAAAAACCACCCTTTCAAGTAAACCATAGGACTAAGTGGCATGTTGAGCCGTTTTGTGAACACTGCTGGGTGTGGTGACCACCACTTCTCCAGGCAACTCATGCCACTGCTTGACAGCCCCTTCCATGAAGAAATTTTTCCTGATGTCCAAGCTAAATGTCCCCTGATGCAGCTTGAGACTCTGTGTTGTCCTGTCAGTGGTTACCTGGGAGAAGAGACTGACCCCACCGGGCCACAGCCTCCTTTCAGGCAGCTGTAGGGAATGGTAAGGTCTCCCCTGAGCCTCCTTTTCTCCAGGATAAACACCCCCAGCTCACTCAGCTGCTCCTCACAGCACTTGTGCTCCAGACCCTGCCCCAGCTCCACTGCCCTTCTCTGCACTCTCTCCAGCTCCTCAGTGTCTTTCTTGCACTGAGGGCCCAGCACTGGACACAGCACTGGAGCTGTGGCCTCAGCAGTGCCCAGTACAGGGGACAATCCCTGCCCTGGCCCTGCTGCCCACACCATGGCTGATCCAGGCCAGGATGCCATTGGCCTTCTTGGTCACCTGGGCACAGCCTGGCTCATGTTCAGCTGCTGTCAGCAGCACCCCCAGGTCCTTTTCTGCTGGGCAGCTTTTCAGCCAGTCCGCCCCAGCATCATAAGTTCAGAAGTGAGAGCATTACACATCTCTTCCCACAGGTCATCATGGGTATGGAATAATGAATTCCCAAGCATCTAGTCAAGAGAGATGCTGTGCCTAAACTAAGCTTTCCACATAAATGACCTGCAGCTGAAGAGAATGACTGCCTGCTCCACAGACCCAGGCATGGAGAGCTCCCATGCTGACCTCTCAGCTGCAAGGACCTTCTGACAAAGCTTACACCTATACCATTTTGTGGGAAGGGCTTCAAAAGGTGAATTGAAAACACACTGCTCTATACTTTCCCCTAGAGAATAAGCACATAATTTCTGCTTATTTTGGCACTTAAGTCTACCAACATAAAAGTCCCACTGTGGCAAAATAGGCTGTCATTCTCATAGCAGGCTGACTTGATTAATATAGTTGCAAAGCTTGTTTTGCAATTCAAACCTTGTCAAACCAAATCCAAAATTATTTTCTTGGATAAATCCAATTAAATACAAATACAGAATCAGAACACATTTTCTGTAATTACCAAGCAATTCTGTGAAAAGACTATTAAAGCAGGCTAAATTGCCTCTCTTACCCTGCCTTCCCAGAGGCACCTTTCTGAAGCAGTGCTGTGTTTGGCAGGGAGGCGGGGGATCAGTCTGCATCTGCAGAGCTCCCCATTTTGGGCTGGTTTGCAGGCAGATGTGCTCCACTCAGCTCTAGTACTGCTCCAAAGGGAGAAAGGATTCCTGACACGACAGTGTCTAATGAAAATAGACACCTCTCCTATCCTCTCTTTTCATTTGAAGTCCTCTCCTAGTTGAATATGTTTCTGTCAGATTGGTCAAGGCATCAGCAAACTTTGCTCTGTGTTTGCACAAAGACAGCAGTATTTTAAATTATGGTAGTCGTTTGTCATATGCTTCTATTTAAATTTTAAAAAAAATTCTATAAAAATTTCCATGGGTAAGTGTCAGAAGTTTCCTCTTTCTGTAAAGCTGGCAGGCATGTCATCAGCACTACTAATTCTGAGAAACTGAAGAAAAAATGCCATTTTTTTTTAACTGCTCTTTTTTATTAGTTGGCCACTTTGATGTCTGTAGTAGCTTTGTGTTTGTAGGGTCTGATTTCTGAGTGGCAGCTGAAATGTCTCAAAGAATTCATAGCAGTCCCCTTCAGTTTTGTGCTACTATTTTCCCCAGTTAAAATCATGAGACATCAGGCCAGGATGAGGGTTTCACAAAAACCAACTGCTATGGAAAATCCTTCTGAAGCAACACGTTCATGTACAGGAGTGAGTACATGCTCAGTACAGCAGGTAGAAGCATTTTTGAGGAAAGGCTTTTTTCCATCTAAAAATGACAGTTGGTCAAACTGAATATTTTCCAGGAATGGCATGTTTTTGACAACAGCAACAAGAGCACAGACATGAAGAACCTGGGCCAGGGGAATTTTTTGGGATGAGAAGGAAGGGTATATACCCACACCAGTCAGTTTCTTTGGGAACAAAAGGGGTTTTCCCACTACTCTAGACAGTGACTGTGGAGCCATTCTCTGTCCTCACTTTTCTGCTGGAGATACTTCATTTTAGAGAAATAGTCACAAGTTGTCTGTGCTGGGCTGTAGGAGAGGGGCTGTGGCTGCCTGGCTGTGCTGGGCTGGGCTTGCAGGCAGGTGCTGGGGCCAAAGCCCTGTGGGGCAGCTGATCCAGTTACCCCCATGCCTGGAAACACCTGGTGTTTCTGAAGTGCAGACCTCGTTATTGTGGGATCATCTCTCTGCTCTTTCTTGCTTTTATTGGAAAGTGCAATTCTGCACTCAAATGTGAAATAAACTATCTGGTGAATATAGAAATAAAAGACATTGTGAATGTTTTTATAGATAAAATTCTTGTTTTCTAGCCAGACTCCAACATGACAAAAAACTGACAGGCTGTTGTCATGACTGAAGGCCTGCTGGAATTCTCAAAGTTGAAATCAGATCCCCACAGCATTTTAGTGTTATATGTCACTTTAACCAAGCAAAGAGGAAAAGAAAGAAGTTCCCTATCTCCAAAATGTTTCTACCCATGCCAATAAGCATCTTTGTACTGATGATGCTTAGACTAGGAATTTATGTATACTTCAAAGATGCACTTAAAGGATTTACATGTTACAACTTCCAGAGCAATACACACTGTACTTGTCCAGAGCTGTTTCTACAGTACATTTTTTCAACACACAATTACTCCATACTTGCCTCAAGATAATTTGTGGAAAAATTTATGAGAACTTCATTTTTACAAGGTGGTATTAGACTCAAACCAAAAATTTATTATATAGATATACACTATCTCTATGCCAGTTTTGCATCCTACTGCTTCTATGCCATGCACAAGTTTCACATTTCTGCTTCTTCAGTTGTCTCTCTTACTAATAAAACAGTAATCTTTTGACCCAGGAAATACATAAATGTATGGAAAGTAATGCTAAAAAGCCTGTGACATTCACATACAAAACAAGAGAAATAAATTTTTTAAACTAAAAGGAGGAGATCATTAAAATCAAATCAATTAATGTATTTCCTTACTTTTGGACTACAAAGTATCCCAGTTCTCTGGTGATACAATGGAGGAACTTACTATTCTTGATGGACACATTTCAGGTTTGTTGTTATTTTTAATAGTAGAAAGGGTGAAAGGATGATGAGGTGAATCTAACAGTTATAATGATTAAAAAAATACTGCTGTTCTGGCAAGAATAATAATGATGTACTTATCAGTGAGAACGTGCAAGTGAAACCTGTCTGCTCTTGCTATTCCAGTCAGACAGAGAAAGATGGGACAGAGCCATGCATTTAGGAACAGCAGCACAGCAAGTTCAACAACATTTTAGTATCGCTTCTAGAGTACAGAAAACCCAAAGCACACTGTTAGTATTTAGAGTCTGTTCTAAATACTTAGCTGGAAGAAAGCCCAGCACTAGTCTAAGACCCAAGTATAAATGGGCTAAACATAGTTTAGAGAGAAAAGTGTCAACTCCATTATAACCTGGCCCTGTTCCTGCAGTAGGGTGGGCACTGAGGAGAAACGAGCATGCAGGGAGAATAAAGCATGAGCAGGAGTGCCCAGGGCAGTGTCCCCTTGCACAAGCCATCCACTGAAGGCAAAGACAGTCTGGATCCCACAGCCCAGCTGCCTGAGATGGAAACACTTTAGATCATATCATAGATGTAGAACATCTACAGGACAGGACAGGACAGGACAGGATAGGATAGGATAGGATAGGATAGGATAGGATAGGATAGGATAGGATAGGATAGGAGCTGGAATTTTACTTTTTATTTTGTGCAGTCAGTGACATTCAATTCTGATTTTGACCCACAGGTTCTGTTATAGTACAAAACACCATAGTGACATGATGGACAGGAGTTTGGCATGTCTGGGGGCTGCAGGATGTGACTGGTGTTCAACCCTGACATTCTTACCTTTGCTATGGTCTCTGGGTATGAAAATATCTGCAAACTGGTTCAAAACAATCATCCCCATGCAATGTAAGTATGTTTCTTCTCCTTTTGGTTAGAAGTTTTTAGAACAACACTTCACACAGAAAAATATGGAATTATATATAGTGTAATACTAGTGCTGTAAATGAAGAAAGTGTTTCTTTAGTAGTTAAAAATAACAACATCAACAACAACAAAAGTCCCAGAATTTAAATTCTTCACAACTTCAGAACTCCCTGCTTTTACTAAGCAGGAGCATTTATTTAGGATCAGGTATACTTGGTTTACATGTCATAAGGACCATCTTCTAACAATATTGCAATTTAATTAGAAAAGCTAATATACTGTGTTTCAAGTAGAAAAAAATTGTTTGCTTATATCTGCATACTGACATTTAAGACTCAGTTTAAATACTCCTTTAATAAATGTTTAAACATGGGTGTTCTTGTCTGATCGCTTTAATATAGAGAGATTTAGTTTTAGTGCATCAACTTACCAACATTTCAGCAGCAAGTTTTGGCCTAAATCACCAAATAATTTCCATTGTGACTCATCAATCAGTTTCATAATGTGTGAAAAATCTTCTTAGAGATAGACATAGATGATACAGATATAGATATTTTTAGAGAGAGAGAGAAAAAAAAAAGAGTTCTTGATTTGGGATGGATATGGTAAGTCCTGAGAAAAGGTCTAAGAGACAATAGATAGAATTGTTCTACTAAGGTTTGGGGTTTGCCACCTCCTTTTTCTTCTGACAGTAACAAAGAAGAGGAATCAGAATGATTCCCCTTTTCTTCCTTGCTCAGCTCCAGATTTTTTGGTAAGGAAACTGGAATTGTATAAATAAAATAAAGTAAAATAAATAAAGAAGATAATTGAGATGATTGTGCATAAAAAACTAGTTGAACTGATGCACAAGGAGATAGTGCTGGAAGAACTATCAGCGTCCTTGCTACCACCAATAGGTTTCTTATTTAATAGGCAGATGACAGCTGGTTTGTGCTAGAATCCAAGCCCACTTTATCATGGGAATATTGAAATTGTGTAGATATCAAGCCATGTAGATTGCTTAATGCCTTACAGTGTTAGAATGTCTCCTTGTCTTTCTTGCCTCGATAAATGCATTTAAAAAGCAGTTATTTGCTTCTTCTTTCAAATTTGAAGGTCACTGGCATCCACAAACCTATGCAATCACTAAATTAGAAAATGAGATTGATCTGTTTGGTGTAGATGAGAAACAAGTGCATATTCTATTGCCCAAATGGAAGTATTTTAATACCACATCCCTCACTGCATCACTTGGTGTTACCCCTCCATAGTCCTGCTTTGCCAAAACTTTTTTGGGGATTCCAGAGACCATCAATTTCTCCTAAAGACCAATAAGGCAAGCAGTTCATTCTGGAGAAACAGAAAACACCTCCCTGTGGTGGCAAACCACAGGACTGAGTTCACCCTGGTCAGCCAGGGTGTGAAGGGTATCTGGCCACATCCCAGCAAACACTGTAATCACCAGGGGACAATGAGATAGGGCATCCTTCCGTATTTTGCAGGGAATTCAAACACTATTGTTGTACATTTTAGGTTTCTGCAATCTTCATAATATTCAATTAGACCAAGCAGTTATCTTTTTTTCTTAATGACATGTTTGTCTGCATAAATAAATATCAGGTGCCATACATGTTTCACTGATTTATATTTGTACAGTAATTGCCTAAGCTGATTACGGTGCCTGAATAAGCAGAAGAGGAATGGAAAGAGGATTCCTCACCAGGATTGTTGAGTTACAGTTTTCTTTTTGAGGATTAAAGTTTTATATTATCTGCATAACACATTTTTATCCTTGTGTTTCTCTTAGAATGGCTTTTGCTGACCCAAGAGCTCAACACTACACTATTTGGTGCAATCAATCTGCCAAGGTACACACATCACTGGCTACATGGAAGGCACATCACTGGCTAAGTGCAAGTCAAGAAGTAGCTGACTATTTTCCTTCTGTTTTCATACTCTGCATTAATCTCAATCTGTGCAAGGTGAATTCACAGCTTTCACCTCCCAGCACTTCATACGGGGAGCACAGAGGTAAAGAAACCACTGTGTTGCAATTTTTCAAGCGGAGTTTGGAAGGTGACTTACAAAAAAATCAGATGGTCTTCAGATCACGTGCTATGGGGCAAAGAACAGAAGAGGAGGGAAGAGAGATTGGAGCTAGGAAGAATTCTTCAATTATTGCACTGCCACTTGGTCGTTGCTGAGTTTTCTAGTGGTAACAACGGGTTAAAGGTGAATACGTGTAACAATCCCAGAGGAAAACTACAGTCAGTGCGATGTCTCTAAAAATGCTTCCACTAATTTTAGCCCCAAAATTCATGCCACTCTAAGCCATCTTGTCCAACCCAAACTTAGTGCCGCCAACAATGGCAGCAATGTTCATATCACAAAAAAGAGGCCTTAAATTATAATTTAATATTTCCTCTTACAGTGTTATCAAAATTATTTACAGCAATGTTTTACATGTTTAAATGCACTGTTTTACATCTCTTTAAAGTTGCATCAATGAAGACATAAAGTTCTAAATCTCCAAATGCCTCTCAGATACTAAAAACAAAAATCACAAATAGTGAACTTACTATGTTCTCTTGTCCCTCGTTCACTCTCATTCCAGCCAGCATTAATTCCTGCTAATCTTGACACTGTTCTGTTAGAAGGCTTAAAGTGTGCCTACTACACTGTGAAAGGATAGATGAAAAGGAGACTATGGGGAGGAAAAATAGCTCTAATGAAAATAAACCCAGCCTTTGATGCAGACTGAGATAGGATTAGCAGATTCACACACTCACAGTCACTCTGCAGGAGGCAGCTTATGTATCTGGGCTCACACTGAGACTTTTTACACAAACAGCATCAAAACATTCACAACTCTGTCCAAAGTTTTTCTCCATTTTCACTTTTTTGTTGCATTCAGCAATGAAACTTAAAGGTGGAAATTCGTGGCCCACAGGACCTATGAGGTTGTCACAGGAACTGGGAAAGGACCAGAGCAGGTAGACAGGCGAGGGAAGCTGGAGAGATGTGGGAGGTAATGGATCATTTCCAGAAGGAGCAATGAGAAAAACTCCAGCAGGGAAACCATAGGCAGAGACATGGGAGGGAAGTAATGATGTGGAGAAGGAGGCATAACATCAGGAAGGCAGATCTAGAAACCATTGGGTCTCAAATGTGCTCTGACACCTTTGCTAAGATAAGCAGAATGTTCAGGTGGCTGACAGAACACTCAAGGTTTTCTCACCATATGGTACACACAGTCCTAATAAAAGCCTAAGGCTGTTTGTTATTAGCTTGCCTGTGCAAAACATGCAAGACACACCCGAAAAAAGATAATACTGAGCCCTGAATTTGTAGAATTTTATGACTTTCATATTTGGTCCCTTAATTCCAATATTAATTTTCTGTATTACTGTTCATGTGCTATATGTTCAAACACAAATAGGAAAGTCAAGCAAAACCACTACAACTTATTGAAAAGTCATTCTCAGGTTGTCATCAGAGTGCCATGCTAAATTTTTTACTTGCCCAGAAAACTATAAATGTGTTTAAAATTTGGTATTTTTTTCAGAGAACAAACCCCATATCGATGTGCTCAGATGGAAATACAAAATATTATCTGTTTTTAATTTTTTTTGTTATATCTTCTTGAATTTGTTTCAACTGGTATAGTTAGCAATCATTAATAGGCAGTGTGCTCTGTGGTAGCTTATTTTCCTTAAGCAAAACCAAAACCATCAGGGCCACCTATATCTAGAAGGGTTTTCTACAAAAGCCATTTTGAAGAATGAGGCTGCTCTTCCATTCGATGGTTTCCTGCACACCCCTCCCCCCCCACCCCCAACCCTTCCTTTTGTGTTGTGAATATCTTCCCAAATAGTCAGTCTCTCTCTATTCAGTGTGTCATTTGTTGTCCCATGTTTCTCCAGGAATAATGGGCAACAGAGTGTTATGTTCACAGGGTGCAAAGTGACTCCTTTTCTTTTATTAGTTGCAGATGCAAGCAAGGAAACTCAGTCTTCCCTATGAAACCGTATGCTTTCATTAGAGCTGTTCCCACAAAACCTCCTCCCAGTCTCAGGCAAGAAGGTCAACTGTGAACCAGAAAACATCAAAACAAAGTCTACACATGAGAGAAATTCAGTTTCCCAATCCAGCCAGCTCAGCATAACTGTCTTTAGGAGGCATATCCACAAGCTCCAACCACCTTCCTTAGTAATCCTGAACAGATCCTGTTCTTGGAAGCCACTTTCTGCATATTTCCTCAGGTAAGAGGATAAATATTCTTTCCTTTTCATTAATTTAGCAGAAGAGCTGTCTGATTAGCCACTAAAGCAAGAGCAGGTAGCCAGGAACAGTCTTCAGTTTTCTTCTCTAACTGGCTAGTTACAGATATAACTGTGCAGAGTGAATACTTCATGCATGGTGATAAAATTTCTACCCAGCCACCAACCTGATGGATCCCTCCAGCTCCTGCACCATGCAACCCAAAGCTGTAGTTAGCACCAACAACTAAAGGGAGAAAAACCAGAATATGACAGCTCATTAAATTATGTGGTGAAAAAAAATATAGGCAAATAAACTTTAATCAAGTGCATAATTGCCTCTGATACCTAAACTACAGCTCCAAAAAAATTCAATCTATTAAGGTTAATGAAACAAGAAAGAAAAAACACAGAGATTGTACTGCCTTGCCGTTGGGAACCTCTGACACTTTCAGCCATAGTCTCTTACCTACAGGTAACAGAAGTCCTGTCACATCCCAGCTGAGCTCCTCCCTGTGAGTAGTCACAGGACTGATGTACTGGATCCGCCTTTTGGATTATATTTCCTTTCAAGACATCTCAGTTGAGTTTCTTCAACAGAGTGTCTAAGACTTCATTGTCTTCATGGAGCTCACTAAGGAGCAGGTACACACTCTGGGAATTATGCAGTCAATAACATGGCTGTTCCAGTTCCCAATTTGATTGTCTGGGAACTGCATGATGAGTAAAGCATTCATAACCCTCCCAGACAAACTTTCTATCAAGCAGTCAGCAAGAAAAACACGAACAAACCACAAACAAAACAGCAACAACAACAAACCCTAAGAGAGCTCAGACCTGAACAAAAAATTGGGGCATTTTGTTACCCTCAGTACCTCTGGGCAGTACTGCTTTCTCTGTATGTGTGCTCCCTCTTCCAGGATGTTGTGGAGAACTTCTTCCCCCTTACTGCATGTTGCCGTTCTCCTTCCTCTTTTAAAATTGCTCACCCATACTTGTTATTAGCTTTCAGCTGTCAGGCAAGACAGCTTCACTGGTTATTACTCCCATGGGAATATCTCCGTTTCTCGGTCTCGCTTTACTGACATTAAGTGGACAATTCAGGTTGCACTGAAAATGATGGGGAGTTTGTAAAGTGGAATGAATGCACACTGCAGGGTTACCTGGCTCCCCACAGCCCTGGCTCCCTTTGCAGCCCTGTGCGTTGCCTTGTCCAATATGTAACAAAGAAAAACTGCTGGGACAACAATTATTTGGAAGCCAGTGTGTATCCTTTGTATCAACCACCTTTGAGAAACATGAAGCTATGTCCACATAATTAGGGAAACATGGCACATTCAGTCTTATTCTGGTCCTACATCTCATGTTTGCCTATTTCATATCTTAAATGCAATTATAACTACACTGGCATATTTGTTTTGTTTTCTCAAACCTGTTTTTCTTGTTATAATAGCATGTGATATATCAACTATTCATTGCAATTAAGGAAAAAAACCCCAGTAATACTGCAAGTAAGACTGTGCACACATTCCAAGGTTGTGATAACATCACAAGTCATGAGAGCTTTGCTTTTTGAGAGTATCTTCTTGCCAGAATGACTAGGCGTGGATGCCTTTGAGTTAAAAATTCATTTTGTAGGGTTTGTTGGGCACAACTTTTTATTCCCTTCACTGTGTTTTTAAGATTAGAGGGATGCTTCCTAGTGCTAAATGCTGCATCTAAATGTGACTAATTACATCAGCGACAACCAGTGCTAGTGTTGGTAGGCAGAACAGTTATGAGAATGATCATTTCCAGGGTCACCCCAGCACGTGCCTTTTGACAGGCTGATGGTGGTTAAAACTACTTATTTTAGAAACTTGCTTTCCAAGGTTCCTCATTAGGTTACTTGAAGTGATTGTGCTTCCTTTAAGATCTGTTTTCTTTCCAGAACAATTCAGAGCAAGGAAATTTGACCCACTCATGATGACCTCCAAGCTGCAACTCCCATGACTTGTAGTACTGATGGATCTAAATAACTGCATGTTCCTATCTCATTCTAAAATCTCTTGAATACCTGATGGATCATGAGATATATTTCAGTGTTTTTTTTCTCTGCTGAATGCATTCAGGATAGTATCTCCATAATAATTTCAAGGTCTAGCACTTTTTTGTTTAAACTGATGAGGCTTCATTTCAAGCACCACTTCAGTGTTTTTGTCTCCCTTCCTTCTTGGCCTTTCCATGCCAGGTATTTATATCTTCTTTTCCTGCTGGCTATTGCATACCAGCTAACTTATTGCTACGGCACAGAATGTACCCCATGTGTCAGAAGCATTTTTTAACAGAGTCTAAGCTGAATGTTGAATGAAGCCAAGCTTTATGTAGAGGAGTTTTAATTATTCTTCGGTCTGTGGAAGGGGAAAGTAAGACCGGGATGAGGAGGACTGGGTTGTCAGGAAGATAGCTGCAGGGAATCAGAATATATCATTACCTAAGGGAGTGGTATCCTCAGTCTTCATCTGCTTTAATTCTCTCACCAGACACATCAAATGACAGTGCTGTAGGGCTTAAAAAAATTGGGGCGAAGCTGGGGCAGCGAATGGCTTATAATGAGAGCCTGTCTAAATGTCTGAGTGGCAGACAAGTGGAGAGAAAAAGTTTGCAGTACATGCTAGCTAAGGTGGAGTGATAACATGTTTGGATTTAATCTGCTTTCTTTCTCTAGCTAGGTTTGACAACTGACTAAGCTGGCTATCCCTACATGAGCTTCACAATTCTGTCTATTAAATTATTTTCTAAGAAAATTGAAATTTGGCAATCATCACGGTTGTCCAGAACTAATTGTTACTTCATTGAACACAAGAACTAAGGACTTGAGTGACTCTTCTTTATTGGCAGAAGTGAGAGGCAGTCACAGCCTGATTTCTTTCTGCACCTCCTGAAAGGGACCCAAGTTAGGAGTCCAGTGCAGGTGGAATTAATGTAAAGAAGGAGCTCTCCAGGAGGGAATGTACCTGCAGTTCTGCCAGCTTTCTCTTTCCCATGAAAAAAAAAAACCCCATGCTTTTCCCATTTCTGTGTCACTGTTCACACATGCAAATCTATCTCCTACTTCCTAGGCAAATCTGGCTTGTGCTTCCCTAGCTCATTTAGCTCATGAGGTACTGGTGGTACCTATACTTGGCACTGTGGTACATGTGCCTGTGGTACATATTCTTGGCACAACAGGCACAGGTAACCTGGGAACACCCTGTTGGTCCCAGCAGCTTGTGAGGCCAGCAGATGCTGGGTTCACCCAGCACAGCTAGGAGCCCCAGCACTTCCCATGAATTCTCATGGGAGATGAGGTGTCTTACCAGCCCAGGACTTCTCTTCCCTGCCCACACTTAATGGTTATAATAAGCTGACAAGTGAGGGACAGTATAATACCACCACACCACTTCAGCACAGGAGACCTAACAAGCTTTTCCATTTCTTGTGAAAGAGAAAAGATGGAAAAATGAGGAGTGCTCACATGGAAGGGTGGGGTTGCTTTTACTCAGCTGTTTGTGTTTAAAAGTTGGGCTTTTAGCTGGGGTAGTCACACGCATCCACTAATAGACACAGGAGAGAAATAAGCACTTCCTGAGACACATTCATGCCATCTGAGACAGATATCCTAGAGAGGCCAGCCCTGGCAGGTGATTCATCCCATCTAGCAATTTCTCCACATATTAGAGAGGGAGACTAAACCCTCAGGAAGCAAAAATTAAGTCAGATGAGTTCAATATAGAGTAAAATAAACATGGTAATACCATTCCCCAAGTGTTCTTCTAATTTTGATTATTTTTTCTTTTTTAATATTTACTGTTAGCTGGAACCAAACATTTATTTAGTAGTGAAATGGGTCAAACTAGCTATTGTAGATCTCTCTGTCAATTAGCAGCAGTTTTTGTTACCACATAAGACAACTAATGCACCATTTCTATCCAGTGCCATGGTAGCCTTTTAATCAAAATCTATTCCAGATATCATAGCCCATGACATCCCAGGGGGAGACATAATGATTTTTCTCTTCCATTCCCTGCTATTTAAGCAGACAACAAAGAATTCCTCAGACATTAATGTGGCTAACCACATATAAATATAGAGGGTGTAGTATTATAAATATGCAGTAAGTAGTATGTAGACTCTTTGAACTTACACACCACTCCAGATTTCCAAATTACTTACCTGTGATGGTGGTCAGCAAGTGTTGCCTTGCCAAGAAACTATTTGTAAAAAGCTTACTACCAACAGTCCTGATTTCTGTTCTTCTGGTTACACATCAGCTGACACTGCATCTCTTTCCTGAACAGATGCAAGAACACACACAGAGCAAGATCTGCATTTCTTTCCTGGTTTGGGACCATAGTGAAATAATGTCATGCAAGACAACAAAGAAAAACCAAGAACAAAATTACATATTGTCCTCTAAATGACCTACAGTCCTAAAATAAAAAAGAAGAGAGAAAATAGATACAATAAGCAGGCATAGAGGAGTATGGGAATAATGTCTATAACAGACAAGTTATCAGTCAGTACAAGTTGGGCTTCAGCAACCTGGCTAATTCAGGCCTCTGAAAACATCATGGAAGAAAAGAACTTGATGGAGACAAGCTGGCATTCTACAGAGACTTGTAGTGGGCTCCAGAGAATCAAGACAACACAGCAACCCAAGCATGAGGTTCTCTACTCCTTCACAGAAAAGATAATGCTCTGTAGAGTGATTAGAAAATGGCATCTTTTGCCCAGAGTAAATTTGCCCAGTGTCAATTCTCAGCAAAAACATATCCTTATCCCCTTGGCAGCAGTATTGCTCAGCTTTGGCAGCTCCTCACTCAGCTGCCTTCCACAAATCCCACTCCAAGATGCCAAATTTCCAGCATACCCATGGACCAGATTTGGATGTTAGAAATACCACTAGGTGTCTACAACTCAGGAACCATGACTTTCAGCA